TTATTTCCCCATTACATTCAAATTGTGATCTTCTCACATAAAGAGTAATGTAAAAAACTATATTTTTGGTTAATGATAGTCACACTTGGGAAAATACACACTCATATAAGAAACAAACATACATAATATTTGATGCCTTGGTAGATGGCTACGTTTAGTAGAAAATATAGGTTTTTCTAGGAGATACAAACATTTACTACAAACATTTACAAACTTATACATCAAACACTTACACATGTTTTCATACAAACAATGAAACTAAAATGCTTATGAACTCACCAGCTTTAAAGCTGATCAACTCTTTCAAAATAACTTGTATTCTCAGGTTATCAGTAGACAGGTACCGATGCCAGGTTTTGAGAAGATGGAGCTCGTTCAAGACTCATCTCTTATTTTAATTTACATTTTTGAGTGTCTTTTAAACTTCACAAAACACACTTGTATTAAATTATATTATTAATGCAATGTATGTTGTTGTTGCTTGTTTACTACTATGCTTTGTTGTGATACTGTACATGACGTCCTCCACCCCGAACGTTTCCGCCGTTCGGTTTTGGGGTGTGACAGAAGTAACAAAAATGGTCCCACATATTACGTGTTCATACATCTACAATTTGACACTCTTTACAATGAAGATCAACTCATAGATATACGTGTGTTTAGTGATCCAAATCATGATGTAGATATCACTGACAAAACCGAAATCGACATTACATTTACTTATTCAATATCATGGAATTCAACTTCCATTGATTACAAGAACATGATGAACAAGTATTCAAGAGCTTCATTGTTGCCCACACAACAACAAATTTATTGGTTTTCTTTCGTTAATTCTGTAGTTATTATTGTGCTTCTTATGGGACTCCTTATAACACTGTTCATGCGTCATCTGGAGAATAAGTTAAGAAGGTAATGATAACTTCATCTCTTCACTCTTCATTAATATTAAACCACTTTCAAGTTTTTCTTATTCATTTTCTTTATTTGATTGCAGATATTCTAATGGAGTTGAAAAACAAGATAAAGAAGTGGGGTGGAAGTATGTTTACAGTGATGTGCTCAGATGTCCTCAAAGAATGGCATTATTATGTGCTGTTTTGGGTATTGGGACACAATTATTCACCATATGTGAACATATTAAGTTATTAACTCAAGATCACTTCATTTTTTATTTAAATTAATCCAATAAGGTTTATGTGTGTGTATGTGTGTGTTTTTTTAAGCAACATTTTTTCTTATTCCTTTTTGACATTTTTGGAGTCATATATCCATATAGCAGAGGGATCATTTCAACTTATCTTGTAGTGTCTTTCATACTTATATATGTTGTTTTGTTACAGAAATGTTGTTATGAGAGTAGTAGGATTTGCTTTACAGAGGCTTTGCTTTTGAATATCAATTCAGTTATCTACAAGTGCCATTTATTTTTTACAGGATATTATATTGCCATGTGTTATATATACATATAATAAATTTTATTGCATTTCAGGTCTAATATCGCCAATAGCTCAAGTGCCATTTCTCAATGGTGTAGATGCTCATTCTATTCTAGTTCCAAGCACTCTCTTTGTAAAGGTTTGTAACATATGCACAGTGATGTGGTTTATCTTTCTTCCAAGTTTTTGAAAATTACAAGAAATAACAATATACTTTCTAATTTTTACTTATAGCAAAAAATATCCTAGAGGATGTGCACCATGTGTCCTCTTCGTTGATGAACTTGATTCCATTGCAACTCAAGTCGGAACTAAGTTATTGTTTCATACATAATATGATATTGAATTTGGAAAATAACTGGAATTGAATGGTTCATTCCATACATAAACGCGCACATTTCTTTTGATAGACGAAAATGGAGCAGTTCATTCATTCCATTTTATTAATTTCTGTTCATTGGCTGGAGGTTGAAAAATTGCAATGTAACTCATTTTTATTTATATGTACCTTTAAATACATAAATCTTCTTTAATTTTTTTTTTGTTATTTTGACTCATTTCAATTAGTATAACCTATATTTAACTTATATAATGAGCTTTTATAATGATTAGTTTTTATTTTTTGTTAATTGATGTTTAAAAATGTGTATGTGCATATGCACATTTTTAAAAAAAATATGCATATACATGAAAAAAATATGAATGAGCATTAGAAATGTTTTTTTTATTAAATCTAAATATTAATTTTGAAATATAAGTAATATTTTCATTGACTAAAAAAATAAAAAAAGTAGTATTATTATTTTTTAAATTAATATGCATATTCATAATATACTTATTCTTATGAATATGTATATGCATATTCATATGCATATGCATATTCATATACATATATTTATTAATGCATATGCATATACGTATTCTTATAATCTTATACATATACATATACCTATTCATAAGTATATGAATATAAATGTCATATAGATATTCTTTTGCATATGCTTATGCATATCATAAGAATAATCATATGTATTTAATTACATTTGAATATACTTATTCTTATGCATATGCATATACTTATGAATATACATATGTAATATACCTATTCTTATACATATTTATATACATACGCATATATGTGTTTAATTATCTTTATATATATATATATATATATATATATATATATATATATATATATATATATATAAGCATAATCATTTGTAATTAATTGTCATATGCATATACTTATTCTTATACACACACACATACACACACACACATATATATATATATATATATATATATATATATATATATATGTGTGTGTGTGTGTGTGTGTGTTTACTCTTATGTATATATATAGTCATTAAAAATGTTTTTTAGAAATATGCATGTGCATATGCATATATTTTTTTAAATATGTATATAGGCAAATATATATATATATATATATATATATATATATATATATATATATATATATATATATATATATATATATATATATATGTATAGTCAAGATCAAATAAGAAGGAAATTTTTGGTAGGAAAGTAAGAAGTTTTTTTTTCTACATATTTTGTCACGAACAAACAAAATGAATTTTTAGATAATTCATTTGTAAGATGATTCACAAGAAAAAATTCTCAAAAAAACATCTCGATGATTCATTTATGTAATGATTTTGTTGTTATTCACTAAAATTGTCATAAAAGTGAATTTTTTCTTAATTTACTTAAAAATGTATCATAAAGATATTTTTTTGAGAATTTTTTCTTGTGAATCATCTTACAAATGAATCATCTAGTGATTCATTTTTTTTGTTCGTCAAAAAAATATGTAGAAAAAAACTTCTTACCTTCCTACCAAAAAAATATGTAGGAAGGTAAGAAGTTTTTTTTTTTTTTTTTTTTTCTACATATTTTTTTCGCGAGCAAACAAAATGAATCATTAGATGATTCATTTGTAAGATGATTTACAAGAAAAAATTCTCAAAAAACATCTCGATGATTCATTTATACAATGATTTTGTTATTATTCACTAAAATTATCATAAAAATGACTTTTTTCTTAATTTACTTAAAAATAAATTATAAAGATGTTTTTTTAAGAAGTTTTTCTTATGAATCATCTAGTGATTTATTTATTTTGTTCGTCAAAAAAATATGTAGAAAAAAACTTTTTACCTTCCTATCAAAAAAAATTTGTTACCGGATCTATATCAATTTACTTAAAAATGAATCATAAAGATGTTTTTTTGAGAATTTTTTTCTTATGAATCATCTTACAAATGAATCATTTAGTGATTCATTTATTTTGTTCGTCAAAAAAATATGTAGAAAAAGCTTCTTACCTTCCTATCAAAAAAAATTTCTGACCGGATATATATATATATATATATATATATATATATATATATATATATATATATATATATAATACATTTTTTCGAAAAATTATTTTTTAATTATTAATTTCGAAATGTATGAAATCTTTTCGTTGATTTTAAAAAATAAAAATAAATAAAAAATAATTTTTATTTTTTTTTGCAAATAAGTGAAAGCATACATTATATTTCCAAATTATGATTTAAAAAAAAAGTGCACTTATAATTCATATTATTTTTTTGTGCAAATATACATTTTCAAAAAATCTGCATACGTATGTACATATTTTTTATTTTATTTTATTTATTTATTTATTTTTTTTTCAAATCTGTCTTAAATATATGTATATACGATTCATATGAAATTTGATATTTAGATTCACTATAAATTAAATAAATTTATTAGTTTTCTCCCTCAATTTAGTTCACCATTAATCTTGTTTCTCTGTTTCTCTCTTTCAATATATATATATATATATATATATATATATATATATATATATATATATATATATATATATATATATATATATATATATATATATATATATATATATATATATAAAAGGAAAAGTGAATATACCCTAAAGGTTATAAGCTTAGGTACCCAAACTCACCATAATACATCATTTTATTTGATATGTTCATTATAATGTTTGTTAAACTTCTACTTCTAACTTGATTTACTTTCAAGATTTTTGAAATTTCACTATTATCTTACTCTTACATTACATCTTTATGCTGAACACCTATTAGGCTATATATACAATTGTTAAAATTGAAAATTATCTAAGAGGAAGATTATGTAAAATTTATAAAAAATGTTGGAATTAAATCAAGTTACAAGTTGAATTAGAAGAATATTGGACAATTACAATGTTCATATGTGATACAAAGCGACCTAATATGATGGGTTTCGATACCTAAACTTATATACTCTTAAGGGTATATTCACTTTTATATATATATATATATATATATATATATATATATATATATATATATATATATATATATATATATATATATATATATATAATTCAAGTAATTATAATTATTAGTTACTTTAGAGAAATCAATGTAATATACAAAACAAATCACACCGCGAGCCAATCTCCTCATGCTAATAACCATGATTACATTCAATATATATTTGTAAAGTGTTAGAAGTTAATCCTCATACGCCCAAACTTTTACTTTTCTTAAGATTGCTTTTTGTTGTAAAATCTAACGACGATGAAGATGTAGATGACGATGATCGTTTTTTTGTGATATATCTTTGTGGATTTTCATTGTGTGATTGGGTTAAATGCGGGAAGTTCAGCAAAGCATGAGAGCCACGGTGCTTAAATGCAGCTCGATCGTACGCCATGGCTGCTTCCTCCGGTGTCTCGTACGTCCCAAGCCATAATCTTGACCCTTTCTTCTCCGGATTCCTCATCTCTGCCGTGAACTTCCCCCACGGCCGCCGTCTCACTCCTCTGTACCTCCTTTCATGAAGTGATGCTATTGGCGGAGCTTCAAAATTCTTCACACCGTCAGAATTATACTCGTTTACACATGGTGGTGATTGGTGGTTCTCCTCACCGGAGAAAATCTTCTCGCCAAACGCGACCACGTTTCCTGTCGTGAAGTCCCAGTTTAACGTCATGCATAGAGCTGATTCCTCCATTGGAGGTAAACAGGTACCAGAAAGATCACTTCCCACAGCCGGAATATCTGCTGAAATATCGGGAATCTCATTACCACTAGTGGAAGAACTCGGGGCCGGAAAGATATCGGAAGAAGTTAGGATCTCAAAGTCATCGAAATTTGGCAAAGGCCCGATTGTATCATCAATTAGAAAACTGGAACTTCGGCTACATACCTTACCTGAGCTAGAGTTGGCTGCAAAAATGGAAGATATTTCCGCGGCAATATTAATGGAAGATTCTTCAGATATGGTCGGAATACTGAAATCGTTAGAATCGGAATGAAGAAAACCAGATAGGAAATGATTATCAACAAGATAGTTGTTAACGGATTCGAGGAGAGAAAAATCAAAATTTACTTCTTCGTTCATTGTTATTTTGTTTATTAATTAAGGGCTGGATCAAGAAACAACCAAAGGAAGGATGACAATGAAACATGGAGGATCTGGTCATATATACACAGATCGATGAGGCAGAAAGCCGTAGTAATATAGTCTCTTTTGTCATTTGAAACATAATTTAATATCGCTATCGATATGAATAATTAAGTAGATAAATGTATTTATCTTTTATTTATAATTAAAATATCTTTATAACTTCAATAAAAATAATAGGTATATAATGTTCATTTTGTTCTGATAGATATTGTTAGATTTGTTGTAAAATAGCGGTTCGAAGAAAGTAATTGTTTTTACAAGAAGTTATTTATTATTTGATTCAGTCAAATACGAAGAAAATCGGCTCCAGGCTCTCTGATATTTGGAGTTTACAAAAAACTACAACGTTGAAGTTTTTGGTATTGTAAAACGTGATTCAGTCGATAGAAAGCTATATTTTCAAGTGAACTAAAAGGGAAATGGAGAACTTTTAATTCATATATTTTAATATTGAGTATGATGTTAAAATCCGTAGAAACCATCGGTAACAAAGAAAAAACACTATGGATAATTTAAAATTCTAACAAAAAATAAAAAATTTATAAAAGTTATTAAATTACAAAAATAGTATACATTTATAATAATTAGTTAAAATTAATATACACATTGTTCTGAATATCCTATTTATATGTATAACCATTTAAAAAAAAATGATTTTATAAAATGCAATACAAATTTGAATAGAATGAAAAAAAAAACAATAAATCATACAAATGATATTGATATACCATAAATTCAAAATAATGGTAATATAATAAAGAAAAAACATCCTAAATGGTCCTTATGGTTTTTAGTTCCTAGGGTTTAAAAATTTTCATAGATGATTTATTTGATTTCAAAACTTTTGACGACCGGTCCTTATTACTAACTCTATTAAGTTTTATTCGTTAATTGAACTGTATTTTCATCATTTCACTATCACAGTGACAATTTATGATTTTTTTTAAAGAAAAACAAATGAAATAATATGCAAAGGTGGATCCACCCCCACACCACACACACACACACACACACTCTCTCTCTCTCTCTCCCCCCCCCCCCCCCCCCCCCATTTTCTTCCCTGGTTATGTGGATCATACAACTCACAAATCACCATCATTCTTTTCTATTCTTCTCACAAATATCAAAACTATCAGCCAGAGAACTTGTTAAAAATCTCAGATCGATTAAAGCAGACAGTCACAGGATGACTCTTTTAGACTAGTCAATACCGTGTGCCACTTAGTGCTTCTCCGACTAAGTTAGGCTAACTTCGACGATCTAGATGTACTAACGAACTTAGGAAGCAAGAGTTACGACAAGGGACACTTCAATAAAGCTTCTATTATATAACTCAACTTCTTTACAAGGCAACTTCTTGATGATTTGGACAAATGAGTCCTCCCCCTTATTTATAGGAACCTTACACCTCCTCAAATGGAAGATTCTAGGTCCCGATCATTCATGACTAATCTAGATTCTTCCTATTATATACATGGATTTTACAAGACTCTAGAATATGGTAGACTTGTATACGACACTCTAGAAATCTCTAAGTCGTCCCGACATTATCCAAATCATTCTTGTATGATCTAGCATGTTCTAGATGCTTCCAAAGTCTTCAGGGTCATTCTAGCTTCATCTAGCTTCCTCTTGATTATTCCGGATCGTTCTCCTTTGTTCCACGAACATCTACAATATTCTAGCATATTCCAGGGTATCGTAGATCATTCTTGATCTTTTCGGAGTGTAACAGCTCAAATTTTCAAATAAATTTTTCATTTAAAATAGAAAAACATTATTCGACAAAAGCATTTATTCCAAGTTCATTTCAAAAATACAAATAACGAATCCCCAAGATCTCCAACCATGGCAGTGTGTACGTGTCACGCCGGCGCCTTCCCACGGTCATCACTAGTACCTGAAACACATAAACACAACTAGTAAGCATAAATGCTTAGTGAGTTCCCCAGTATACGACTTACATACATACGCCTTTCCAGGCCCTGACCTTCCGGTCCATATATCATTGCCTTCCGGCCCGTAACATAATTGCCTTCCGGCCCATAACATATTGCCTTCCGGCCCGTATTATATTGCCTTCCGGCCCATAGTATATTGCCTTCCGGCCCATAACATTTACAAAGCATAACACATATATCATAACACACATAGCACATATATCATACATCATACCTGTTCCTGATATCACATAACATATTGCCTTCCGGCCCGGTTAAACATACATAACATGTATAGCATCTACCTTTCCAATTATAGCGTAAATCACATATAACACATACGACCTTCCGGTCACACAGTCAAACCCTTCCGGGTGAAGTATAGTGAGAAAACTCACCTCGTAGTATGCAAGCTATAAACCCTTGGAGCTACTCGTACTCGATCCGTTAATCTGTAGACTCCCTATAATACCACATACCTTTGTTAATGATCTTATCAAACAAGACACTGACCCTACGAAATTACATACAGGTCAACGGTCAACTTGACCGGACTCGTCGAGTGCAAAGGCGACTCGGCGAGTCTAGACACCCCGACTCCACTCGCCGAGTCTAGAGAACGACTCGACGAGTCCCAGTAAGTCTTCAAGCTACTCGCCGAGTCTGAAGAACAACTCGGCGAGTCCTATTGAATCTTCAAGCTACTCGCCGAGTCTGATCATTGGACTCGGCGAGTCCTCGCCATGCAGTCAATCAACTGCCTCCTGTAATTCGCATGATTCCGTAATATATAGATATGGGACTTCCTGGACCTTTACACATACTATTACTGGGATTTAAACACTTGTAACAACTCTATAATCTATCAAATCCTTAAATGGGTTTCCTAAACCCTAGATTCGTGTACAACACCAAAACTATAGAAATGATCCGAGGATTACCTGGAAAACGTGTTCCATGTGTCCCCAACCTTCAGAGCTCAACCCCTTGATCCTCCTTTGATCACCACCTTGCCTCTCCTTGCCTAACAACCTCTTCAAGCTTCCACTAGCCTTCACCCTTGCTCCAGATGCCCACAGCCGTTTAGGTTATCTTCAATCGGCCAAAAGACGAGACATGACGGCCCTAAAGACATTATATACGATCCAGAATCAAAACGGCTAGGGTTTCAGCTGAACAGCGTCGACTCGCCGAGTCCCTAATGGACTCGTCGAGTCCAGTCGCGAATCTGTGACCAAGACCGTGGTCCTACTCGGTGAGTCAGGCATCAACTCGCCGAGTCCCCCCTAAATATTCCCCAAATTAATTTAAAGTAATACCTGAAATTCCGGGCTGTTACACGGAGACTTCTCGAGTATACTTGATTGTTCCGGAGTTCTCTAGACGATTGTAGAATTTTCCAGAAACTTGGTCCGTGACAAGACGGAGGACTTCTAAATCGATCAATTCTAAAACTTAACCTAGTAGATCTAGAGAAAAAGGAGTAGGTCGCCATGGCTAGATAGTTGATTTCTCTATGCTCTGCATTCTTCAGATTGTAGATTGTACTTTCTCGTCCGATTTCCCCAACTTCGTTCATCGGCTTTTCCTATATTCCATGTTCCACTGATTCTGGGAGCAAAAATAAAAACTACATGTCTCTGTGTTTGGTTGTACCGAAGGTTAGAGCCAATTATAGTCTTATAGACAAGCAAGGTAACAATGGCATAGGTGACATTAGATTTTAATTGTAGAAGATTTGTTCTTTATTAATTTAATCTCAAAGTGGGTGGAGTTAGCCGATGTGGAAGAGGAACGACTACGATCGGGATGACGGATTTAGCTGATTTAACAGTGCTACTTTCACCGCTAGGGATTTTTGTCTTAACCTTAGGCTTCCTACAAAGGGCGACCATCGAGCACACGGTGAGAAATCGAATATGTGTGTTCTTAAAATCTTTCTTTATATTCAGATGAAAACATAGTTGTATATGTGAGATCGAGTTTAAGAACTCCATGTGTGTGTGGGGGTTTTATTCTAGATTTAGGTGAAAAATAAGTTTTGATTTTTCAAGTATGTGGGTGCATTATAACTTCCAGTGTGTGTGTGTACGTAGCTTGAGTTGTAGGTGAGGTTGGGAAGACGATCGTCGTGAGTTTTTTTTAGCTGATGTGTTGGAAAAGATTTTAAACAGGGTTAAAAATGATTATTTAATTGATTCAAATCAGGGTTATCTAAAAGATACCACAACAAAAGAAAGACCCCTCTAGGCCTCATAACACCATCCATACTCTCCATAAGGTTGAGAAAACCAATTTTCCAAGATCTATCTTTTAATGTTCTAGGGTTTTTAGTCTTTTAGGTGTGAGCCATTTGATGCATTCTACTTTGGTTGCTCGACTTTCCAAAAGCAACAAGGAGATCAAAATCGTCAAGAATCTAAGAGACAAATTTGAATTTGTAAAAGGTTAGTAATAAAATCCCTTTCTTTACTTTATAATACTAGTTGTGAAAGTATTTTGTCATAATAGAAAACCTGGATCTTACATTTCATGTAAACTAACGGTATATATCAAATGCTTATGTTGCCTATTTTTAGTGTATAAATGCCTAGTAAACCCGTCACTGGTATCAGAGCCATTATATTTTGATTATAGTCACTACTGTTAACAAATTGAGAAAAACTAAAGAAACATGCTAGTCGCTAGGTGCGGCGCACCCAAACCTAGATGCAACACGCTTTCAAGAGAAAATCAGGTTTAAGGATTTTTTTGCTATAATTTCAAATTTAAGGTTATCACTAGTTTTAAATATTATTTAAATTTTTTTAAATTGGATAACTAATCTAAAAATGTATATATGCCTAAAATAATAGGAATTAAAGATAATGATTTTAACTTAATTAATTAAATTATTAATTAGATATAATTTGTTTAAATAATATAATTTTAATTTTTTATATTTTATCTTACATATTATGATAAAAGATTATAAAAGAATATGTAAATACCAAA